TCCCTCAGATACCACCTTTGGTAAAATCTGATCAACACAGTCAAAAAAAATTAGGGGAGGGAGGGTAGACTAGAGAAAGTTAAAGAATGGAAGTAAAAATTGTATTTTTTTTTTCCTTAAATCTTGAATACAGCCAAATAACATGGGACAGGTTTTTACTAAATCCATTTCTGCAAGGTGTAAGGTACCCTTAGACGTCTATAGCTTGCTTCTGAACCTTCAGTGTCACAGGCCTTGACACCTGCCGAACTTAGTAGGCAAGTTTATCTGAAACGGCTAGCTGTTATGTCTTGAAATCTTGTTCCAAGATTTGTTTTATGTTAAATAATATTTCATAATGACTATGTGAAAACCCTCATACATACCAGTCTTGAAAATCCACTTAACTGTTTGCTTTCTGGAACAACTGAAAAACCAAGTTGCTCACAGCTCTCCACAGTCTCCCACCACTGTGTAAGAGGCAGGTGAGTATTTTGGGTCTTCAGCTGGCCGTGACAAGCCAGTTTTGACAGACTGATAGATGCATTCACTAAGACAACACCCATGTCACAAATCTGATACCCTGAATCACCTACAGAAAAGCTTTCCACAGCAAAGTTTATCCAAGGGCCAGTGAGAAAACAAACTAAAAAAAAAAAAAAAAATATATATACATTAAGGCCCCTATGCTAGAAATAAACAGCATTTAAAATACTGAAGAAAATATAAACTATTGAACAATTTGGTATAGACCAAGAATGCAATGAAAGTACACATGATCTGGCTTCTTTGCTGACCATGCTTGGAAAGGACTGGTATTTTGCAACTTTAGTCCTGCAATTATCATAAACAAGAAATTTAAATATATTTTAAAAAGCAGGCATGTTTACTCTTCTGATGTAAACTACTCCTATGACATAAATGGTTGTGATCTAGTGCTAGTGGCTTTAATGCTATATTAAACATGCCAAGGTAGCAATATCTTTGGCAATGAGAGAATTGCAGAACTTAAGGATGAGATTATTAGATTTACTAACATCAGAAACACCTTTTTGCTTTGTGTGCAGTACATACATTTCATTCAAACATGTTTCGTTATATTTTCCACACCTCCTCCAGGATTATGAGTACAGGAAGTAGCCTGTACTGTTTGATTTTTATGATTTTACTCAAGAAGCTATTCTTGGTTCTCACTTTGTCTTCAAATTCATTTAAATTTGTAAGCCAAGTTAAACAAAAATTCTGGTTTGTGATCAAAGTTACAATGCTGAAGACTTAAAAATAGCTATTGGTTCATGATAATATAGGACAAGTCTAAATTCTTAGGTTAAAATACAGCCATAGGATAGAATTGTCTATTCCAAAATTAATTTTTCAAAATATAATTCTCTGAACATGTTATAGATTAAATATTGAGGAAAATTTCCCTGGAGCGAAAATTTCCCAAGAACACTAGTATTCTTCATTAAAGAAGTAAAACAAACCACACAGCATCTGGAGACAAAAAGGGGTAGACTTGTGGTCACCTTACTACAGAGTAGCTTTACCACCATTCAGATGCAGTTTCCCCCTTCATCTTGAAAAATAGGTTCATATTTACATACAGTATACACACAGTTGAGGCAATTGATTGTCAACACGTGACAAATGTATGTACCTACCCACACACAAGTAAACCTCACATGGTGAGAAAAAACCCTGTTCCAGTAAACTCCAGTATTCATAAGTAGTGCAAATAAATACTTTGTCAGAAAACATTTTTTTCCTCACTATTTTGATGTTGAACCAGATAATTAAAATTATGTTAAAGCTCGCAGGAGGATGTTGGAAATGTTGTAGGTAAGACCAACACACCTGCAAACTACAAATACTAGATCTAACGCTTACTGGCTGCAACATGATGTTCAGCATTACAGAATGAAGTATGCTGTAAAAAAACCTGTCCAAATTCACATCAGAAAGTGATAAAATAATTTCTTTGATGAAAGCAAAGAAATCTGCATTTAAAATGGACAATGACATACGAAGTCTACAAGTGAAAACTAAAAGGATAATACAGCAATTTAAACTGTCATCTTACAACATTCATTTTAATAGGTATTTTTACTTCATCACTTTACTGCCTGCAGGATGAAAAACTGGCTCATCATTCAACCAAAAAGCTGCTCACAATAAACTCCCCAAAAGGATAATCAAGTTGGAGTTAGCAATCTCAGCATTCTATATTTTCTTAAACTTAAAAAGCCCAACAAAAATGAGTTGCGAAATGACAGTATATGGTGATGCTGTAAAAATTGTATCAAGGAATAATTTATTTATCCCTACTTCCATGTATATATACATCAAAATATAGTACCCACACTTCCTCAACTACGAATAACATGTATGTGCCTGCATGTGCTCATACACAGGGAAAAATCGTAGTGTTCTGCTTTTTTACCTTCTTTTATAATGCTGCACTTGCACTGAAATACTGCAGAAACCTCAATCTAGTGCCTCATGTAGAGTACCAAACGTTCTAAACCAAGACACAGCAGAGTGAATTCAGGTTAGAGATTTAAGTCTCACAGATGTCACAAAATTTAAGTATGTTTTGTATGTTGTTTAGTACTTAGCACATATAATCAGAAAGCCAACAGATTATTCCCTCAACCCATACCCCAGACACTTCTAATTTTATGTCTGCCACAGTACTTTGAAGTGTATGGAACTTCGGCGTATGAAGTTTTGCTGCAGTCAACACACCTGGGGATAGTTTTGAGACACATGGAAAAGCAGATGATTGATACACAACTGAACATGATACACAGCACTGGCAAAGCCCCTTATTACAGCTGGTTTGCAGATATTAGTGATGACTTATTTTGTGAGATAGTTGTTGAATGGTGCTTGTCTGAAAAATGACAAAACAGGCTCCCATAACTGGAACATTGCACTAAAAGGGTAACTTTGAGAAGTTACAGATGTACCACATCAACCCATAGCAAAAAAAAAAAAAGTTTGGTTTTTTTTTAATAGGGATAAATTTGAACTCTTTAAAAAGTCTTACACGGGATAGGTATATATACACAAAACCGAACCAAAATACAATGGATAAATGGTAACAAAAGGCACATCATCCAAATGAGGACTGTAAAAATATCTTGAAAGGTAGTCTGACTAAATTTTAACCAATTCAAATTTCTGCACATACATTTTACTACCCTATCTGAAGTCACTGAGCTGTCTCACTTTCCTGAAATAGTTTAATGGTGTGGGACCTCCCCCTCCCCCAAGAATGTATTTAAAAAAAAAAAAAGTTGTAAAATTTGGCCTGATGACAAAGTGTTCTAAAACTTCTGGGGGAATGCTTGCAATGGCAAATGTGGGAAACAGAGAACCTTGCTAGTGAATAACTCTACTTTTTGAAATACTAACATAAATTCCTTAAAAAAGCAGCAGACACTCCTGACCTTTTCTTTCACAATGGTTTGAGAAAATTATTTGTTCCTTTTCAATTTACAGACTGCTTTTTAGTAGCATTTCCTTTGTGATGGTCTCTACAAAATACGAACTTCGTACTTTCAGCCACAACTTACATACTGTCTCCACTAGCAAAATTTTATGGAATAAAGAAGTTTAACCATATACAGCTTTTGACATTTTTACAGAAAACGCCACATAGCTTTATCTCAACTTTGCCTTAGTTCCATCTCCGTGTGACTGGTGGACCTTAACTTCAATTTAGAAACGGTAAAGTTTTTTTTCTCTGATGATGATGATTCTATTTACTCTTTAACTGAATTTCTACATCAGTCCAGATGCTGTTTAATTCACTTTATGAATGTAAGAAATGAAGACTAGGATATCAGAGTGACACATCAAACCAGAGAAAAAAAAAAAAGAAAATTAAAAAAAATTTTGAAATAAAGACATTCCAAAGAAAAAAATAAGACCACAAAACCCAAAACCAACTACCAGCAATGCAACAGCATGTAATTGTCCTGAATTTCTTAGACTATAATTCAAAGATAGCCTGCTATTTGTAACTGTTTATGTTTATCCTTCACAGTGACAGTGAAACCGAAGTGCCCACATAAAGATCGTAACTCTTTCCTGTGGGTTTACAACTTGTAAACTTTCAGGGTATCATACATGACTTAAGCATAGAGGATGAAGTTTTCCCTTTTCTCTCTAGCAATCCAAAGAGATAGAGATGGAGAGAGAATGCAAACATTCTCCTGTGTAACCAGAAATGTGCTTCTAAGCAGTGTTCTCCAAGGTAAGTACCAGCCATTGCCCATACACCCATCATATACATTCAAGGCTTGGCTCAATGGCATGAGTTCTGAATTTTCTAGGGTAGGGTAAATCCACTATAAATCAGTGTTAAAAAAGCTCATCTGATTATAAATACCAAGGCAATGAAGGGTGATCCTTCTGGGAAAAAAGGACTGTCAGTACCCCTTAGCACAAACGGTGCCTTAGAAAAGCATTTCACATTGAAGCTTCAGTGTTTCTAGCAAACTATTGTCTCTACGCCTGAGACGGCCCCTTAGGAGTATGGTCTGTCTGGACTGCAGAATTCTTCCAATGACCCCATGATTGAACTCAGGGACACCGAGAAAGCAGCTGAGAGGGGCAGTGGTGTCCAACAGCCATACCACCATAGAAAGCAGCCTGAGAAATACTCTTTACCCGAATACACCTTTCAATTCAGTGATCACCACCTCACAAGAACAACAACAACAAAAATGGAGCAGAGCTAGCCATTAGTTCCTGGGAAAGTAGCATTTCCCTCCCACTTACAAACCAAATTGCTTTAACAGCATGGTGTTACCTAAATTTTTGTCTATATGCAGAATGACCCTGTGTCCTGGAGGGGAAGACATGTAACATTACATATGGCTACAACGCCATCAGAAGTGCATTGTAACCTACATTATCTACTTACAATGCTCTCTCTGAGGGAAAACAACTTGTTAATATGCATGTCTCAGTTGCTGAACATCAAAAGCTTCTGGGATGAGAGACTGGGGGCAGGCAAGAAAAAACTACCCTCATTTTAATGAAAAAAGTGCTGTAGGCAGCCAGGAGCAGCAATGACAATCCCCTCCCCAGAACTGATTGCACAGACTCAGAGAGGTCCAAAGTCATACTAGAATCTCTGAGGCACTCCTGGTTCTGAGAAAAGTCATGATCCAGTAGTCTTTGCAGTACTGTAGACCGAGAAAACAAACCCGTTTCTTAACAAAGCCAAAGCATCATCTCATAGGGATCACATTCACCATTTCCGCCGGTGTCTCCAGTCTCACAGTGTTGAAATGGGACTGATCAGCCTACGATGGATTGCACATCACCCAAGGAGAAAGGAAGGCGTGGAAAAAGGCATACAGTACATTATATACTGCTTCACAACCATGTTTACAAGGGGGCGGGGGGAATGAAGGTGAGGGAAGAATTATTGCTGTTTCAGTAATACAGTATGATAGCTAAACCAAATCAAACAAGATCACAACAGTCAGTATTTTCACACTGCGGGATGACGGTTCATGTTTTGCCTAAGGATGAACTTGCCTGGGGATTAAGGGGAAAGAGGGAGTCCTAAGGAAGGGAGTCAAAGTTACACCTGGGATATCAGCTGCATATTGAAACTTGGAGATCGAGACTGCTTGGTTAGGGGAGCTCCTGGGGGAAGGAGATCTTTACCTTCCCCAGCTTGGCCTAGTCGGTCCTCCTGTAGGCTGATAGTTGAAAACCGATTGGTGTTGCCAGCTGCCAGATTGGTAACACCCTCTGTACCAGCTCCAACACTGGAGCCTGCTTGACTGCCATTCACATAGTCAAACGATTTACTGGAGGAAGCACTGGCGGTCCTGATCAGGCTCAAACTGTTGGCTTTTGGCACCACCTGCCCAGCAGGCAGACTGAGATGTTTCTTAGTAGGTGTCATCTCAATTATATCTGCACCAAGGTCAGTGGATTGGTGCACGTACTGCTTCCGAGCTACTGAATCGCGAGGGCTCTCATTGGATTTTGCTGCAGAAGAGGTTTCTTTATCCTTAGCAGAACGCCCACTTGCTGTTTTCTTTAAGCTGCCCTTCTGGGATACAGATGCTAGAGGTTTGGTCCCAACCGGCTGGCTGCTGAGGGAAGCTCCTGATGAAAATCCTTCATCAGCATCATTAAGGTTCACAGATTCCTGCCTTCCATTTACACCTTCAGCATCTATTAAGAAAAAAGAAACAACCAAAAAAATCCCAAACCAATCAGAACACACACAAAGCATTCAAGCCACATGAAGACAAAGACATGCACAGAATATCAAAACAAACATTTGCTAATCCACCTGGTTTCCACTCGCTTAAACATTTTTGATTCTCAGCCCATAATCTTCCTGTCATACTTAGCAAATAAAAGAATCTAACAATAAGTGCTCCCCAAGCTTGATTTGCCTTTCCTCTACATTACTTTGATCAGTCAGAAATACTCCCAAACTTTGTCTATTAACAAAAATAATTAGGCCCCATTTGATTAATTTGGTTTACTTCTGTCTGCAGATACGGGTGCCCATTCTCCTCCTACATGTGGTTAAAAAAAACCAAAACCCCAAACAAAAAAAAAAGCACCTTTCAGACCTTTTCTATCCTATTTTAAGGTAAGATCTAAGACTGTTCAGGATCTCTTCCAGCCAGAGTAAGTTCTGATGAGTGCTCGGTAAGCTTCAGAATTCGGTTACTTCCTAGGCCCGCAATCACAATGCTCCAACAGAGACAGCAGGCTACTTCTGTTGTGTGTAGCTGGCATTTCAAACAATGTGACTCTACTTTCTGTTGGAGATTAACCCAATTCCTAGCCCTCTGTTCTCCAGAGCTCAATCCTCCCTGCATTTCCAGCAATACTATCTAGGTGCTTCTACAATATTTGCTTTTATATCAGCATCTAGATTTTTCAGAGGAAAAAAACCCCTTGTAATAAGAGAAATTTAACCTCTGAAACACACCCTGTTGTAAAAAAGGCAACGTACTTTTGACTGGAATCTCAAAAGAGAAAAAAAAAAGCCTGACAAACTTCTTAAATCCTTGGTTTCAGGTCTGTAATATGATTAGGGCTGCACACAAAGACATTTTTTTTTTTTAGTCTTATTCCAGTCCTTTTTCAAAGCTCCAAGTACTCAGAAGAAGAGTTACTGTTTCAGTAGAAAACTGAACAGCATTCACATTTTAAAACTGAAAATGGAGCTTCAGTTTTTGCTCCATAGATCTCATTTCAGTGAGAAAAAGCCATAAATTTTAACGTTAGCAAAAAAGGCAACATTCAGGCTACAAAGATTTTGCTTTTCTTACAGAAGTTGCGGAACCTGATTATTTGTGAGAAGTTCGCAAAGGCTATGCATCTGTCAGCACCTAAAGCTACTGCACTGCTCTGCTAGCAGTTGGTTCAACACAGCCTGCCATCAAGCAAACAGGTTTAAATCTCTTTTGAGGAATAGGGAAAAAATGGCAGCAAGGATCTAATTGATTCTAATATCTGAGTGAAGCTCATCCTTTCCCACTGATTGTTAGCAGAGCACTAAGGAACCATTTTAGATTACCACAAGAACAGACACAAAGCTTTCAGTGTTGTTGCTGCCTCTGTGTAGCAGGAATACAGCCTGATTCAACTTCACATTTCTGAAGTGTAAAGCAAAAAAAATTTACAAGGAGGTTTTATTATTCTGGTATAAATTTACTTCTTTTCAGAAAACTTTGCCTTGGAATTACCATTACTGTGTATCAGCTTACTAAATATGTTTAGCCATTTCCAAATCAGACCATTCCCAGGCCTCTCTCAGAACAATGCAATTGAGACTATTCTGTATAAAGTTCTATTTGACTCATTAGCCTCCCAAAACCAGAAAGGCAGTATCGTTCATGTTACTGCAGTCTTCCTGCCTTGCTAAAGCTTTAGCCTTAGAAAAAGAAGCTTCTTAGGTTTCAAGGACTATTATTAAAATGAAGAGTGCTTTACTAGCTTTAACTTCCTGTAGCCATATTTACAATACATGTTACTTTCTTCCCCCTTTCCTGCCCACCCCGTTTGGTCAAACTAGGCCTTCATCCTCTCATTGAGACATAAATGTATTTCTTATTCACAAACCACCACATTGCCATTCCACTCCCCAACCTCCCCACACATAATCTAAAATGCTAATAAAAACATGACGTAACTGGAACATACTGAAAGTAAGACCACTTTTTCAATAAACCAACATTTATGTTTCTTTATATAATCATGCAAAGCTGGGTGAAAGCGTGTTTTGGTTACAAGCAGCAATAGCAGCAGCTGAAGTCCCCTCTCATGCCCTTCTTAGTGAAACGAAAGCTGTGTAACTTGCAAGAAGCTATTTCCAGACAACACTGCTAAGCTTTTTATCACTACAAGAACATTAGTCTTCAAAGTTTACGTTAAAACGTAGCTGAGTAACAGGATGCTAGAACAGACATTCCTATTCAGGGATAGTGAAGCAGAAGGGTCACGCTGAAAAAGTGGCATTTTATCCACAGAATTTGAAGACAAGACTGAGAGGGGTTGTTGCAAGTTTTTGAATGCTGCAACTATACAGAGGCCCAAGCAGCTCAGCAGTGCTCTAAAATGAAGAAGATAGAGAAGACAACATGCAAGAGAACTTCTGTCTCGTCAGATCCATACACTTATGGAAGTTCTCAGTGGGGCTGAAGTAATTCAGCAAGCATATATTCTTTTCCCAATACATTCTATTTTGCCCTCAGAAACAATCAAAAATGCTTGACTCCTCACATACTCTGGGAGGAAAAACAGGAGTCAGAGGGGTTTTTCCCCCCCCCAACAGACCAAAAAGACAATTAAAAAAGAAAATAAAAACTAAAACCTACTCCTCCCAAGCACTCTTCCAGAAGAGAAAGACAGTGCAACCTGTCATTTATGCCAGTACATAATTAATCCCATAGATGTAGATACAGCATTCTCCACTGACCCAAAATAGGGCACATAACCACAGCGGCTGCCACCCAGAAGCCAAATGCCTTGTAAGGCATTACTGAGTCATTCTGGAAATCTTCTGCCTTTTTCTACTTATTGAGTCAAGACACTGATCTGAAGAGGGGGGGTTTATACAGCTTTTTAAAGTGACTTTTATTCTGTTCACCCTTCCTATACCTGAAGGTTGAAAAGTCACTAGAAATGATCAGTCTCTCATTTTATTGCTTATTATCAAAATTATATCTATGGGAGGGAATTTGCTAGCTCAAACTTTCTGTGAAATCAGCATCAGTAAAATAATAGATCACTAAAAGGCACACAATTCTATGCTGATAATAGGCCAAACTCCATTCCTTGGCCTTCTCCCAGATGCTGTCAACTGGCAGAATTCAGTTTGCCCAAGCATGTTATTACACATTGCTAATGATACAGAAGTGAAGGGTATTCAGCCCACTTCTACTGAACCAAAGCATGTGGAATGAAGCCTTAGCTAAGAACATGCCAAATTATATAGATGTTTTGAAACAAAGTAAGACTAGAAGGCCACATCTTTATTGACTTCTTTCCCACTTCCTGCCTCTCCCAGAAGGTTCTCTGCAGCTGAGGACTTCTCCATATCCTTCAGGTCATGCACATGCAAAGTTTAGTAAAATGGAGTCAGACCAACTGACCAAGTGCATTTAGAAGACAGGACTCATTTACTGAGCATGCTCAAAACCACTATGCACCAAGGAGTAGATTATAAACCCACACTAAACATTTTCATGCAACTGCCTTCTACAGAAGCATGTCTTAATTACTGACTGAAAGCAACTATGATTAAGTGTAAGGATTCTGTGATAACACTACATTAAATCTCCAAATTCTCCAGATTATTGTTTCCAGAAGAACAAATCTGAAACCTAGGTAGCTCATATCCAAATGTGCAAATAAATCTAATTTATGATCAACTGATATTCTTACAGAGGCTGGAAATACCAAAGGAATGTTCAGATAGAAAAGGATACTTAGGAGAACATTTGAAAATACGTTTAGCTAAATTTACAAGAAATCAATTCTCATCTCTGAGAAAAAAAATCACGATTCAAATTCAGTACTCAAAAGCATGCGTCTTATGGAGTGAAGCTGAGAAAATTAATAGATGAACTTAAGCAAAAAAGACTTCTCCCACCTACTCTATCTACTATTCTTGGCTGCAGAGCCAAGTCCTACAGTATTTTTGTGGACAGCATGACTGAGAAAGAAAGAAGTAATTGTTTCTAAAGTTTTTAGAAACATGACAACCTGATTTCTTCTTGAAAACACAAGCACTTCTTTGGTACTTGTCTTTAGAACAGCCAGTTCATTCATTCAGATGAGTTGTAGATGTGCATATTGTTGTACATGCATGAATCTTCAATTAAAAGATGACTGGCAAATATAAACATTTGAGCAGTTATATATCTTAGATAGGCTTGACTTTTAATGGCAACAGGAAACTTCGTTCTTGGAAATTTAAAAACTGCAGACTAACAAGACACTATTTTAGCTAAGTTGTAGCCAAATCCACTTTCACTCTATACTGTCTACTTTTCGGGACTAGATCATGTTCAGCTGGTGCATTTTTCCTTCAGAATATTTAATTAAACATGCTCAGTAATAGAAAGTTTCCAAGCAATCCCAAAGCTCTTGGCTATCACCCCTGTCTTTTTTTAAATTATTGTGCCCTTTTTTTGCCATGCCAAGCAATCTTTCACCACACAGATGCAAGCCCCAGGCCAGCCCACGTGATAACAAAAGGTAGTACCTGACCTGATGTTAGGTATATAGGGGATGTGTGTATTGCAAAGAGAAGCTAATACACCCTGGGATAGCGGAAACACACACTAGAATGGAAAGAAGTTCTGCTTGGGGATAGGGAGCCAGGATCCTCCTCCAGCAACTGCCTCACTGACTTCTGCCTCCTCATCTCTGTCCTACCCTCTGTTGTGGCTGCTGCCAAGGTGGGCTCCGGGAAGCCATGCTCAGGGGTCCTGCGCATCAGCACCTCCCCCTCTTGCTCACGTTTGATCCCTAGGTCTGTGGAGCCGTGTTGGATCGGTGAGCCAGGTATGCTTGAGTCAGCCTCGTTTGAGAAGTCAAAGCCATCTGGGATTCAACATATAACATTTTAGTGCTTTTCTATTCCTTTCTTGGCATTCCAACCCAGGCAGGGAAAGTAGAAGCTTTATGTGGACATGGAACAAACACAAAACACTACCCGTGCTTAGTTAAAAGTTGTAAGAACACCCACAGAAAGGGACAGGTGGGCTGTACTGTAGACCAGACACTAGCAAATGAATATAATGGCAACTACAGTGAAGACAAGTATGAGCCAGAGTCTTGAAAACAGATGACAGCTACTTGTTGTCCTGGACATCCTGATTCAGCTGAAGACCAAAGGTCATCAAATCCTTTTGCACATGATTTAAAAAAAAAAAAAAAAAAAAGTATTGCAGGAAAATATGTAATTCTTGTTTTCAGACTCTTTTACCCTCTTTATTTTAGGTTATTCTACTTTTTACCTTCAGCCATTTATGCAGCTTTTTTTTAACCAATGTTTTATGCATGCAGCAACAAAGTTTTATAAGTATGCTGTAGTGATTTCAAAGCAGGCTTTTGCTACACCTATGCTAGGATGTCATTATATCAAGGTAAATATTACTACATATTTATTTTTCTTCTTCATACAGTCAAGCACACTTCCATACGACGTAAGTATTCACTGAAGAAAAAATAAGGACTAATTCTAAGCTATCCAAAGCGATTTTATGACATGTCCCCTCTTTAAATTGCACCATATGATGGCAGGAGCGTGATGTTCAGCTTTTGCCTCTCCCACTGCCTTCAGTAGCTTTAGGTAGCTGGAACCCTATCAACGTCTGGGTAATACCATTCATGCCCTGAGCTATTCATGATGGGAGACAGTTGAGTTTTAGTGTGGACTAAAGAAAGAACTCTAGTTCTAAGCCACACTCTACCTCTACAATTTTATTTTGTGTTATGGAAAAAAAGAGACATCAAACATTTTCCAGCTTTTCCATTTTCTCACCTACCTCATGGGTTATCACCAAATCAAAAACAAAACAAACACCCCAAATGTTCATGTTCATGCAGTGCTCTGAAGATGTAAAATACTATACATTGTTATGGAATACCGCTTTTGAGAAACAAACAAATGAACTCCCAACCAACTGTTCTGCAAACATTCAAACTCAGAAGCAGGATTACAATGATGATGATGAATACAGTATACTATGGTATTTGCTCTTGGCAGAAAAAGCTCACCTTCTCTCCTCCAGCGATGACGACGGATAGAAGCTGTTGTAATAGCAGTCCGAGAAATCCTCGGCACTGTTGGAGTAACTTCTACTTTCAGTACCTTCTGGCCTTCTTGTGAAGCATCAGGAGCATCAAAGGGTAGCGAGTTCTTCATGGCATTTGCAACCTAAGATAAAAGTAAAATGCTGCAGTGCTACAGTCCTTGATTGCACTAATGGCAACATTAGATCTCTTGCTGGATACAGCAAGTGAAGAAACCAAAGAATTGTTAATTATGCCAGATCCCATCCAGATGGATGGCCTCATCCCCAAGATTCACAGTTGATAACTACACTGAAAAGCTCATCACAAACCTACTCCCAAAAATACAGCTGAACTTTCTCTTTTGTTTTTTGAGGTAATTAATTTTGTTCCATGTTTGCTACCTGTACTGACAGAGGTAACAACCTACACAGGAAAGTGTCCATCTGAAAGAGACTGCAAAACGGAAAGCCAAATACCATTTATGCTTTATGACAAGACTGTCATAAAACGAAGTCACAGGACAAGTCAATACAACCAGCATACGGCCTCATGCATGGGGGAGACAGGGCCAGTTTCCACCCCACCTCCCCATAACCACAATCACCCCACTCCCAGAAAAACCCCCCAAACTAACCAAGGGGAATAGACTGCAGGTACTTGCAAGGTTTAAAAAAAGCCCTGCCTTAAACAACGATCATCAAATAATAAAAATGCATTAATCTTTATTAGACGTAATTTTTAATCATAATAGCCTATTATAAAGCCAGAAATCTTGTTTTGCAGCTTTGAGGAGAACAAATTACCTCTTCTGACCCTCATGTTTTAACTGCTTCTTTAAATTTCCCATAAAATGCCTTTGTGGGATTGAGATTTACTTTAAAAAAACCAACAACTTCCAGTTAATGTTTCCCAGTTTACAAATAAATTGTTCTAAAAGTGATCTTGTGTACCAGCTCTTGAAAAGTAAGCTGGGTCTCTATGGCATGTGCAGTATTCAACGACAACAAAAGTTGCTGCATACAAAATGTAGTTTAAAACTTTAAAAAAAACCCAAACCAACAAACCAAAAACCCAAACCAACAAACCAAGAGCCCACAACCAAAGTGAACACACCTTGGTTTTCCTAAATCTTACTGACTTTATACAACAACCAGCAGTAAAAATTTTAGACACATTTTAAGCTTAACATCACAACTTCATTCATAGACCTCATGTTTCACAGATATCTGACTTCTTCCATGCTCTTTACTCCCCCTCTAATGAAGACAGTAGATGAAATAGTAGGGTCAGAAACATCCAGACTTAAAATAAAATAACCAGGGAAAATGTAACTAGTTAATCTCTACAAAATCCTACCCTAGCAACAGTTCCCGCTATGATTTGGCCAGGCTATTTTTTCCACTACAGTTTACAAGAACCATTATGAAAAGCAACTTTATGTTGCCTCCTAATGGATTTACTTTTGCACCACCAAAAAAGTTTGATCTCTCAAGTTGCAAAGTCAGAGTTCACCATGTGACAAGACAGACACATTTCTTTAAATACATGTGGTCGGCGTGCCTTAAATCCATGTAGTCAACTTGTTAGCTCCAGGCAAAATCATGTAAACTCTATTTTAAGACACAGCCAAATTATTCAGTTGACCATTCTGTTAACTCAAATGAAATACAGACCTGCTTTAGAACACGCATCTTTGCAAGATACTCCACTTTTCTGACCATGCATACATACATTTTTCTTCCTTCTAGACCACGTTTCTTTTACTAAGAACAAGCATTTTCATTATTTGTATAAAGTCTTGTGGCTAGCTGATAGAGTAGTTATCAACTGTTTAGCACATGACTACAATTAGGCATTTTAGTGTTATGTTATAAATAACATTTTAATACGCTCCTCCCAAACTAATGACAGAATTAATGCACTTTTAAACCTCATCAACATTGTCTTCATATTCTGAGGCTGCCAGTGGCCTTGGAAATGTAAAACATAAAACAGATTCCTTGAACTCCCAAAGCCTACATATACAAAATCTGCTTGGCTAATTAAGTCATCTTTTGTTAGCACTCAAAAAAACACAAACCAGGAATAATCTACTAAACCCCTGGAACCGACCCTATTGGCAGAACTTTGTACTATGTGTCTTGTGAAGGTCTCAGATAATGTTTGACAAAAAGAACATCACAGTGCACATGTATGGCATAAAATCTCCATGAATTAAAAGTGTTTCTTTTAATTATAATGAAGTAGAAGGGACATTCCTACAAGTTATAACAGGCAAACCATTCAGCAACCGTGAGAAAGAATGAAACTGGTTCAAACAGTAAAGCCACAGATCACAGGATATTAATCAAATCAGAGTCTTCTCTACCTGGGGGCCTGGAATGGCTGCCATGTAGCTGATCCTGATCACCAGCTGCTTTTGTAATCCTTTAACTCCCCATTACACATCATCTCTACTGACATCCTGTCTTACTTGTAACCAGCAAAAAACATTACAGGCATCATCACAGAAATCCTCCTTAGCATTCTGCCTTTACCTTGTCCAACTTTGATTTGCTCTTTGCTAGCCAATTCTCTCAACCTTTTTCCATGCCATCCTCTCGAAATGGTACAAACTGCATTCACCCTATCCTTGACTCATTTCTGCCGCACTGAACCAAAGCAGATCAAGTGCAACAGTACATGATGGTTTGCCTTCCTATCTTCTACTCAGAGTTGCACGCTCTTTTGAATAGGTATCCTCAGTATACAGGACTAAAATCTAAAAATTAGTAGCAGAAAGCTTCTGCAACAGGACCCAAAAAGTGACAGAGCACTTCTGCTTGCTGAACCTTTTAACAGCTGGCCCTTTCTAACAGCACAAATTGTACTTCTGGGGGCTGAAGAGAACCATATGGAGATAAAGTCAATGCAACAGTGAAACTTCTAAATAATCTAAACAACCAGTTTGAATGAGTCACAGCCCTTCTCCGACAGAAAAAAATCCACAAACCTGCAATCCTTCGGGATGCAAAAGAAACTTGCTCCCTATGTGTAATCCAGCACTGAAAGGCAGGAAAACAAACAAAACAGCACAATTCAGACTTGGCAAGGCAAGTCTGCTGCTACCAGTGACAAAGGAGGGCTGGTTTCAGGCCAGACATCCACTCTTGCCTACCAGAAGGGAGCTCTAACAAAAAGAGCATCCAACAAAAGCAGTAAGTACGTCAATGAAATACACTAGATAAAGGTGCTGTCGCTGTAGGGACTTGCTGATACATGCTTCTTGTGTACCAGGCTAAGAATGTCTGTGCGCCTCTGCACTGAAAACAGGATTTCCATCTGAAACAAGCACAGAACTCATTGTGTTCAGGGGAAGAGACAGATTGTCTAGAACTGAGCTACTCACCAGGTCCAGGCCAGCTTGGAAGTAATACTGAGTCTTGGTTATTAGTTTCCCCCCCCTGTAGAAACTCCAAGTTTTCATGACTATGAAACCAATACCCAGTGTCCGTTAAGAGAGATACTTTACTTTTCCCAGTAGCAGCCTTGCCTTTCCCTTCCATTACCTCCTGCCCTTTCCAGTGCAGTCTCTGGGTAACAGCCCAAGAAGACTGCTTCTACCTTCTTTTTTTTTTTTTTTTTTTAAAAACTCCGCAGGCAATCTAAACCTATTTAAATACTAGCATAGATCTGCTATATTGTCAAAAATATTTCTCCAAGAGACATACCCAAACACAGGGACCGTGATGTTTCTCAATGTAATGATGACTGATGATATTCTCAAAATTATACCAATACCTTGAGTAGAGATATCTAAAAATAATCCTAACACGGGGGTTTGTCTGACTATTAAATGGACTTCAAAGAATTTGCTGCTACTGGGAAATCCTAGGCACAAGCTGAACTTGAAACTTATCTAGAATGCTTCACAGATGGTATTTTACTTGGTGCCAGTAGTTTTAAGTTTAAAATACAAAATTTTGTAATACTGCTAATTATTACACATCTGGAGAATTCCATTATGTGAAAGGACTCCAACCTTTAAAAAAATCAGATCACTTGAATATAATAGCATGATGCCAAGGACAAACAGGATATAAAATCAGGCAAAATGTGGGTCCTCTGCAGAAAGAAACGGGAGAGCTGGTTTCCCAAGATATGGAGAAGTCAGAGGTGCTCAATTCTTCACTGGCAAGGGAGCAAGCCATAGGCCCCTGACTCGCAGAAGGCAAGGGCATGGACTGGGAGAATGGAGAGCTGCCCATGGTTAGAGAGGATCAGGTTTGGCAACACCTGAGGAACCCACAAGTCCACCTGATGGAATACATCTGCTGGTCCTGAAAGAACTGGCGGTTGCAGTTGCAAAACCTCTATCTACCATATCTGAGAAGTCACGACGGTCTGGTGAAGTTCACGCTGAATGGAAAAGGGGAAACATAACCCCCATCTTTAAAAAAGAAAAAAGGAGGATGTGTGGAACTAGAGGCCACTCAGTCTCACCTCTGCGCCTGGCAAGATCATGGAACAGATCCTCCTGGAAACCATGCAAAGGCACATGGAAAATGAGGAAGTGATTGGTGACAGCCAGTATGGCTTCACCAAGGGCAGATGGTGCCTGATGAATACAGTGACCTTCTATGAAGGGGTCATAACCTCGGTGGATAGAGGACGGGCAACAGATGTCATCTACCTGGACCTGTGCAAAGCCTTTGATAGAGACATGGATTTGACAGACAGACTGCTCAATGGATAAAGAACTGACTGGATGGTCACACTCAGAGTGTGGTGGTCAATGGCTCAATGTCTGAGTGGAGACCAGTGATGAGCGGCAT